TCATTCGAATTGAATTGAATTGATTTAAATTTGATTGATTCGAATTCATTCAAATCGAATTCACTTGCATTGATTTCAACTGAATTGAATAGAATAGAACAGAACAGATCAGAATTCAAATGATTTGAATTGTATCGAATTGAGTTGAATTGAATTGATTCTAATTGAATTCATATGCATTGATTCAAATTTAATTGATCTGAATTGAATTGAATTGATTGAAATTAGATTGATTCGAATTCATTCAAATTGAATTCATTTGCATTGATTCCAACTGAATTAAATAGAATAGAACAGATCAGAATACAAATTTTTTTAATTGTATCGAATTGAATTGGACTGAATTGATTTGATACGAACTCATTCGAATTGGATTGGTATGAATTGTTTCGAATTGGATTGATTTGAATTCAATTGATTCTAATGGAATTGATATGCATTGATTAAAATTGAATTGATCTGAATTGAATTCAATTGATTGAGATTGGATTGATTCGAATTCATTCAAATTGAACTCATTTGCATTGATTCCAACTGAGTTAAAGAGAATAGAACAGAAGAGATTGTATGGAATAATTGAATTGAACTAAATTGGTTTGATATGAATTCATTCGAATTGGATTTGTATGAACTGTTTTGAATTGAATTTATCTCAATTGAATTCAGTTGCATGAATTGATTGAAATTGGATTGATTCGAATTCATTCGAATTGAATTCATTTGCATTGATACAAACTGAATTCAATAGAATAGAACAGATCAGATCAGAATTCAAATGATTTGAATTGTATCAAATTGAATTTAATTTAATTGATTTGGTATGAATTCATTCGATATGGATTGTTATTAATTGTTTTGAATTGGGTTGACTTGAATTGATTTGTTTCTACTTGAATTGATATGCATTGATTCAAATTGAGTTGATCTCAATTGAATTGAATTGATTGAAATAGGATTGATTGGAATTGTTTCAAATCGAATTTATTTCCGTTGATTCCAACTGAATTAAATCGAATAGAACAGATTAGAATTGAAATTATTTGAATTGTTTTGAATTGAATTGAAATTATTTCATATGAATTCATTCGAATTTGATTTGTACAGTAAATCAATTCAATTCAATTCGAATGAATTCATATCAAATCAATTCAATTCAATCCAACTCGATACAATTCAATTCATTTGAATTCTGATCTGATCTGATCTGATCGGATCTGATTCGATCTCTTCTGTTCTATTCTTTTCTATTCAATTCAGTTGGAATCAATGCAATTAGAATCAATCCAATTGAAATCAATCCAATTCAAAACAATGTATACCAATCCAATTCGAATGAATAAATATCAAATCAATTCAGTTCAATTCAATTTTTATCGATTTCAATTCGATACAATTCAAATCATTTGAATCCTGATCTGATCTGTTCTGTCCTATTCCACTGAATTCAGTTGGAATCAGTGCAAATGAATTAAATTTAAAACAATTCGAATCAATCCAATTTCAATCAATTCACTTCAAAAGAGATCAATTAAGTTTGAATCAATGCATATCATTTCAATAAGAATTAATTCAATTCAAATCAATCCAATTCGAAACAATTCATATCAAGTCAAATTAATTCAATTAAATACAAGGGAAATCATTTAAATTCCTATCTTTTCTATTCAATTCAAATGGATTTTGTCTGAATCAGTTCAAATTATTTAAAATAATTTCAAATCCATCCATCTGAAACAATTCAGATAAATTCAATTAAATTGGAATGAATTTAATTAGAGTCAATTCAAATTCATATGTTTCGAATCATTTCGAATTAATTTGAATCAATTTAATTTAAAGCCTTGTATTATCTCTTGCAGTGTACGGTCTGGACAATAATAAATGGATCAAAACAAAGCAGAGCTTTACAAAAAGGTACTTACACAAAATCTATTGCTTTCAAAAAGATAAAAACAGAATCAAAATTCTTTAAATAATTCATACCAATCCAATTCGAATGAATTCATGTCATATCAATTCAATTCCATTCAATAAAATTCAAATCATTTGAGTTCCGATCTGTTTTCTTCTTTTCTGTTCTGTTCTGTACTGTTCTGTTCTGTTCTGTTCTGTTTTGTTCTGTTCTATTCCATTCAATTCAGTTGGAATCAATGCAAATCAATTCAGTTGAAATCAATTCAATTTGAATGAATTCAAATCAATCCAATTTCAATCAATTCAACTGAATTCAATTCAGATCAATTCAATTCGAATCATTCTAAATCAGTTGAATTCGAAACAATCCAATTCGTATCAATTCAATTCATTTCTATACAATTGAAATGAGATCAATTCAATTTAATTCGAATCAATTCGAATAATTTCAATTTTAATCAATTCAATTACAATCAATTCAATTCGGATCAATTCAATAGCAATCAATTTGAATGAATTCAATTCAAATCAATTCAATTTGGATCAATTGGGGTCAATTTGAATCAATTCGATTCTAATCACTTCATATGAATCCTATTCCAATCAATTCAATTCAAATCAATCCAATTCGAAAAAATTCATGTCAAGTCAAATCAATTCAATTCAATTAAATACAAGGAATATCATTTAAATTCCTATCTGTTCTATTCGATTCAAATGGATTTTGTCTCAATCAATTCAAATAATTTCAAATAATTTCAAATCCATTCATCTGAAACAATTCGGATAAATTAAATTAAATTGGAATGAATTTAATTAGTATCACTTTAAATTGATATGTTTCGAATCAATTCAAATTAATTTAAGTCAATTCAATTCAAAACCTTGTTTCATCCCTTGCAGTGTACGGACTCAAAATAATAATTGGATCAGAACAGAACAGAGCTTTACAAAAAGGTACGTACACAAAATCTTCTTCTTTCAAAAACATAAAAACAGAGTCAAAATTCTTCAAATAAGTCATACCAATCCAATTCGAATGAATTCATATCATCTCAATTCAATTCAATACACTTAAAATAATTTGCGTTCCCATCTGTTCTGTTCTGTTCCATTCAATTCAGTTCGAATCAATGCAAATGAACTCAATTTAAATTAATTCGAATCAATCCAATTTCAATAAATTCAATTCAATTCAGATCAATTGAATTTGAATCAATGGATATCAATTCAATTAGAATCAATTCAACTCAAATCAATCCAATTCGAAATAATAGATCTTATCTCTTCTGTTCTATTCAATTCAGTTGGAATCAATGCGAATGAATTCAATTTTAATGAATTCGAATCAATCCAATTTCAATAAATTAAAAATTAAATTAAATTAAATCAATGCATATCAATTCAAGTATAATCATTTCAACTCAAATCAATCATATTCGAAACAACTCATACCAATCCTATTCGAATGAATTCATATCAAATCAATTAAGTTCAATTCAATTCGATTCCATACAATTCACAAAATTGGTGTTCTGATCTGTTGTATACTCCATTAAACTCAGTTGGAATCAATGCAAATGAATTCAATTTAAAATAATTTGAATCAATCCAATTTCAATCAATTCAATTCAATTCAGGTCAATTCAATTTGAATCAATGCATATCAATCCAATTCAACTCAATACAATTCCGATCATTTGAATTCTGATCTGATCTGATCTGATCTCTTCTATTCTTTTCTATTCAATTCAGTTGGAATCAATGCAAATGAATTCAATTTAAAACAATTCGAATTTCAATCAATTCAATTCACTTCAAAAAAGATCAATTAAATTTGAATCAATGCATATCATTTCAATAAGAATTAATTCAATTCAAATCAATCCAATTCGAAACAATTCATATCAAGTCAAATCAATTCAATTAAATACAAGGCAAATCATTTAAATTGCTATCTTTTCTATTCGATTCAAATGGAATTTTATCTTAATCAATTCAAATAATTTCAAATAATTTCAAATCGATTCATCTGAAACAATTCAAATAAATTCAAATAAATTGGAATGAATTTAATTGGAATCAATTCAAATTGATATGTTTTGAATCATTTCGAATTAATTTGAATCAATTTAATTCAAAGCCTTGTATTATCCCTTCACTGTACGGTCTGGACAATAGTAAATAGATCAGAACAAAACAGAGCTTTACAAAAAGGTACGTACACAAAATCTACTGCTTTCAAAAAGATAAAAGCAGAATCAATATTTTTCAAATAATTCATACCAAACCAATTCGAATGAATTCATGTCATATCAATTCAATTCAATTCAATAAAATTCAAATAATTTGAATTCCAATCTGTTCTCTTCTGTTCTGTTCTATTCTGTCCTGTCCTGTTCTGTTCTGTTCTGTTCCATTAAATTCAGTTGGAATCAATGCAAATCAAGTCAAATCAATTCGATTCAATTAAATACAACGTAAATCATTTAAATTCCTATCTGTTCTATTCGATTCAAATGGATTTTGTCTCAATCAATTCAAATAATTTCAAATAATGTCAAATCCATTCATCTGAAACAATTCAGACAAATTCAAATAAATTGGAATGAATTTAATTGGAATCAATTCAAATTGATATGTTTCGAATCAATTAAAATTAATTTGAATCAATTCAATTCAAAACCTTGTTTTATCCCTTGCAGTGTACGGTCTGGACAATAATAAATGGATCAGAACAAAACAGGGCTTTAGAAAAAGGTACGTACACAAAAAGATAAAAACAGTGTCAAAATTCTTCAAATAATTCATACCAATCCACTTCGAATGAATTCATATCATATCAATTCAATTCAATACAATTTAAATCATTTGAATTCCCATCTGTTCTGTTCTGTTCTGTTCTGTTCCATTCAATTCAGTTCGAATCAATGCAAATGAACTCAATTTAAATTAATTCGAATCAATCCAATTTCAATCAATTCAACTGAATTCAGTTCAGATCAATTGAATTTGAATCATTCTCAATCAATCGAATTCAAAACAATCTAATTTGGATAAATTCAATTCATTTTGATACAATTGAAATGAGATCAATTCAATTCAATTCGAATAATTTCAATTTCAATCAATTCAATTTAAATGAATTCAATTCGTATCAATTTAATAGTAAAAATTACATAATTCAGCCTTTAGGCTGCAAAGTAATTTTATTAAATACAAATACAAATACAAATGCAAAATCAATTTAAATCAATTCAATTCAATTATTCTATTCTATTCAATTCAGTTGGAACCAATGCAAATGAATTCAATTTGAATGAATTCGAATCAATGCAATTTCAATCAAGTCAATTCAATTCAATTCAGATCAATTCAATTTGAATTAATGCATATCAATTCAAGTAGAATCAATTTAATTAAAATCAATCCAATTCGAAACAATTCATACCAATCCAATTCGAATGAATTCAAATCAATTCAATTCAATTGGAATGAATTCATATCAAATCAATTCAATTCAATTAAATTCAACTCAATACAACTCAAATAATTTGAATTCTCATCTGATCTGATCTCTTCTGTTCTATTCTTTTCTATTCAATTCAGTTGGAATCAATGCAAAAGAATTCAATTTGAATGAATTCGAATCAATCCAATTTCAATCAATTCAATTCGATTCAGATCAATTCAATTAAAATCAATCCAATTAGAAACAATTCATACGATCCAATACGAATCAATTCATATCAATTCAATTTAATTCAATTCAATTCGATACAATTCATATCATTTGAATTTTGATCTGTTGTATTCCATTCAATTAAGTTGGAATCTATGCAAATGAATTCAATTTGAAACAATTCGAGTCAATCCAATTTCAATCAAATCGATTAAATTCAATTAAGATCAATTCAATTTGAATCTTAATTCGAATCAATCCAATTCGAAACAATACATACCAATCTAATTCAAATGAATTAATATCAATTCAATTCAATTCAAATCGATACAATTCATATCATTTGAATTTTGATCTGTTCTATTCCATTCAATTCAATTGGAATCAATGCAAATGAATTCAATTCGAAACAATTCGAATCAATCCAATTTCAATCAATTCAATTCGATTCAGATCAATTCAATTCAAATCAATCCAATTAGAAACAATTCATACGATCCAATACGAATGAATTCATATCAATTCAATTTAATTCAATTCAATTCGATACAATTCATATCATTTGAATTTTGATCTGTTGTATTCCATTCAATTAAGGTGGAATCTATGCAAATGAATTCAATTTGAAACAATTCGAATCAATCGAATTTCAATCAAATCTATTAAATTCCATTAAGATCAATTCAATTTGAATCAATTCGAATCAATCCAATTCGAAACAACACATACCAATCTAATTCGAATGAATTAATATCAATTCAATTCAAATCGATACAATTCATATCATTTGAATTTTGATCTGTTCTATTCCATTGAATTCAATTGGAATCAATGCAAATGAATTCAATTTGAAACAATTCGAATCAATCCAATTTCAATCAATTTTATTCGATTCAGATCAATTCAATTCAATTCAAATAATCCAATTCGAAACAATTCATACGAATCAAATGCAAATGAATTCATATCAATTCAATTCAATTCAATTCAATTCGATACAATTCATATCATTTGTATTCTGATCTGTTGTATTCCAATCGATTAAGGTGGAATCTATCCAAATGAATTCAATTTGAAACAATTCGAATCAATCGAATTTCAATCAAATCTATTAAATTCCATTAAGATCAATTCAATTTGAATCAATTCGAATCAATACAATTCGAAACAATACATACCAATCTAATTCGAATGAATTAATATCAATTCAATTCAATTCAAATCGATACAATTCATATCATTTGAATTTTGATCTGTTCTATTCCATTCAATTCAATTGGAATCAATGCAAATGAATTCAATTTGAATGAATTCGAATCAATCCAATTTCAAGCAATTCAATTCAATTCAGATCAATTCAATTTGAATCAATGCATATCAATTAAAGTAGAATCAATTCAATTCAAATCAATCCAATTCGAAATCATTCATACCAATCCAATCCAATTCAAATGAATTCATATCAATTCAATTCAATTTTATACATTTCATATCATTTGAATTTTGATATGTTGTATTCCATTCAATGAATTCATGTCAAATCAATTCAGTTCAATTCGATACAATTCAAAAAATTTGTATTCTTATCTTTTCTATATTCCATTAAAATCAGTTGGAATAAATTCAATTCAGTTGGAATCAATGCAAATGAATTCAATTCGAATGAATTCCTATCAAATAATTTTCAATTCAATTCAACTCAATACAATTCAAATCATTTGAATTCTGATCTGATCTGATCTCTTCTGTTCTATTCTTTTGTATTCAATTCAGTTGGAATCAATGCAAATGAATTCAATTTGAAACAGTTCGAATCAGTCAAATTTCAATCAATTCAAATCAATTTAGATCAATTCAATTTGAATCAATGCATACCAATTCAATTAGAATCAATTCAATTCAAAGCAATCCAATTCGAAACAATTCATACCACTCAAATTCGAATAAATTCATATCAAATCAATTCAATTCTATTCGATACAATTCAAATCATTTGTATTCTGATCTGTTCTATTCCGTTCAATTCAGTTTGATTCAATTATTTAATGCATATCAATTAAAGTAGAATCAATTCGATTCAAATCAATCCAATTCGAAATAATTCATACCAATCCAATTAAAATGAATTCATATCAATTCAATTCAACTCAACTCAACTGAATACAATTCAAATCATTTCAATTCTGATCTGATCTGATCTGACCTCTTCTGTTCTGTTCCATTCAATTAAGTTAGAGGCAATGCAAATAAATTCATTTTGAAACAATTTGAATCAATCCAATTTCAGTCAATTCAATTCAATTCAATTCAGGTCAATTCAATTTGAACCAATGCCTATCAATTCAATTAGAATCAATTCAATTCAAATCAATCCAATTCGAAACAATTCATGCCAAGCCAATTCGAATGAATTCATATCAAATCAACTCAGTCAGATTCAATTCGATACAATTCAAAAAAATTGTATTCTGATCTGTTCTATGCCATTAAATTCAGTTGGAATCATTGCCAATGAATTCAATTTAAAATAATTTGAATCAATCCAATTTCAATCAATTCAATTCAACTGACATCAATTCAATTTGAATCAATGCATATCAATTCAATTAGAATCAGTTCAATTCAAATCAATCCAATTCGAAATAATTCATACCAATCCAATTCGAATGAATTCATATCAAATAACTTTCAATTCAATTCAACTCAATACAATTCCGATCATTTGAATTCTGATCTGATCTGATCTGATCTCTTCTGTTCTATTCTTTTCTATTCAATTCAGTTGGAATCAATGCAAATTAATTCAATTTGAAACAGTTCGAATCAATCAAATTTCAATCAATTCAATTCAATTGAGATCAATTCAATTTGAATCAATGCATATCAATTCAATTATAGAATCAATTCAATTCAAATCAGTCCAATTCGAAACAATTCATAACAATCCATATCGAATGAATTCATATGGAATGAATTCATATCATATCAATCGAATGAATTCATATTAAATAAATTCACTTCAAATGAATTCGATATATTCCAAAAAATTGTATTCTGATCTGTTCTATTCCATTAAATTCAGTTGGAATCAATGCAAATGAATTCAATTTAAAACAATTTGAATCAATCCAATTTCAATCAATTCAATTCAATTGAGCTCAATTCAATTTGAATCAATGCATATCAATTCACTCAGAATCAATTCCATTCAAATCAATCCTAATTGAAATAATTGAAACCAATCCAATTCGAAATCATATCAAAGCAATTCAATTCATTTCAACTCATTACAATTCAAATCATTTTAATTCTCATCTGATCTGATCTCTTCCGTTCCGTTCCATTCTATTCTTTTTAATTCAGTTGAACTCAATGCAAGTGAATTCAATTTGAATCAATTGAAATCAATCCAATTCGAAACAATACATACCAATCCAATTCGAATGAATTCATATCAATTCAAATCAATTCAATTCGATACAATTCATATCATTTGAATTTTGATTTGTTGTATTCCATTCAGTTAGAATCAATGCAAATGAATTCAATTTGAAAAAATTTGAATCAATCCATTTTCAATCAATTCAATTCGATTCAGATCAATTCAATTCAAATCAATCCAATTCGAAACAATTCATAAGAATCCAATACGAATGAATTCATATCAATTCAATTCAATTCGATACAATTCATATCATTTCAATTTTGAATTCTATTTGAAATTTGTATTCTATTCAATTCAGTTGAAATCAATGCAAGTGAATTCAATTTAAATGAATTCGAATCAATCCAATTTAAATAATTTCAATTCAATATTCGAATGAATTCATATCGATTCAATTCAATTCAACTCAATACAATTCAAATAATTTGAATTCTGATCTGATCTTTTCTGTTCTATCCTTTTCTATTCAATTCAGTTGGAATCAATGCAAAAGAATTCAATTTCATTGAATTCAAGTCAATCCAATTTCAATCAATTCGATTCAGATCAATTTAATTTGAATCAATGTTTATCAATCCAATTAGAATCAATTCAATTCAAATCAATCCAATTCCAAAAAATTCGTACCAATCCAATTTGAATGAATTCATATCAAATCAATTCAGTTCAATTCAATTCAATTCGATACAATTAAAAAAAATGTATTTTGATCTGTTTTATTCAATTAAATTCCATCAGTTGGAATCAATGCAAATGAATGCAATTTAAAATAATTTAAATCAATCCAATTTCTATAAATTAAATTCAATTGAGCTCAATTCAATTTGAATCAATGCATATCAATTCAATCAGAATCAATTCAATTCAAATCAATCCAATTCGAATGAATTAATACCAAAGCAATTCAATTCAACTCATTACAATTTAAATCATTTGAATTCTCATCTTATCTGATCTCTTCTGTTCTATTCTAGTCTATTCAATTCAGTTGAGATCAATGCAAGTGAATTCAATTTGAATCAATTCAAATCAAACCAATTCGAAACAATACATACCAATCCAATTCGAATGAATTCATATTAATTCAATTCAATTCGATACAATTCATATTATTTGAATTTTGATCTCTTGTATTCTTTTCAATTCAGTTGAAATCAATGCAATTGAATTCAATTTGAATGAATTCGAATCAATCCAATTTAAATAAATTCAATTCAATATTCGAATGAATTCATATCAAATCAATTCAATTTTATTCAACTCAATACAATTCAAATCATTTGAATTCTGATCTGATCTAATCTGATCTCTTCTGTTCTATTCTTTTCTATTCAATTCAGTTGAAATCAATGCAACTGAATTCAATTTGAACGAGTTCCTATTAATTCGAATAAAATCAATTCAATTCAAAGAAATCCAATTCGAAACAGTTTATACCACTCAAATTCGAATCAATTCATATCAAATCAATTCATTTCAATTCGACACAATTCAAATCATTTGCATTCTGATCGGTTCTATTCCATTCAATTCAGTTCGATTTCATGCAAATGAATTCAATTTAAGACAATTCGAATCCATTGAATTTCAATCAATTCAATTCAATTGAGATCAATTCAATTTGAATCAATGCATATCAATTCAATCAGAATCAATTCAATTGAAAGCAATCCAATTCGAAACAGTTCATACCACTCCAATTCGAATGATTCATATAAATTAAATTCAATTCAATTCGATACAAATAATTTGCATTCTGATCTGTTCTATTCCATTCAATTCAGTTTGATTCCATGCAAATGAATTCAATTTAAGACAATTCGAATCAATCCAATTTCAATCAATTCAATTCAATTGAGATCAATTCAATTTGAATCAATGCATATCAATTCAATCAAAATCAATTCAATTTAAATCAATCCTATTCGAAATAATTGAAACCAATCCAATTCGAATGAATTCATTTCAAATTAATTCAATTCAATCAAATTCAACTGATTACAATTCAAATCATTTGAATTCTCATCTGATCTGATCTCTTGTGTTCTTTTCTATTCAATTCAATTTAAATCAACGAAAGTGAATTCAATTTGAATCAATTCAAATCAATCCAATTCCAAACAATACATACCAATCCAATTCGAATGAATTCATATCAATTCAATTCAATTCAATTCGACACAATTCATGTCATTTGAATTTTGATCTGATCTGATCTGATCTGATCTGATCTCTTCTGTTCTATTCTTTTCTATTCAATTCAATTCAGTTGGAATCAATACAACTGAATTCAATTTGAATGAATTCGAATCAATCCAATTTCAATCAAATCAAGTCAACTCAACTAAGATCAATTCAATTTGAATCAATTCGAATCAATCCAATTCGAAACAATACATAACAATCCAATTCGAATGAATTCATATCAATTCAATTCAATTCAATTTGATACAATTCATATCATTTTAATTCTGATCTGTTTTATTCCATTCAATCCAATTTTAATCAATTCAATTCAATTCAGATCAATTCAATTGGAACCAATGCCTGTCAATTCAATTAGAATCAATTCAAATTCGAAAAAATTTATACCAATCCAACTCGAATGAATTCATATCATACCAATTCAATTCAATACAATTCAGATAATTTGAATTCTTATCTGTTCTGTTCTATTCCATTCAATTCAGTTGGAATCAATGCAAATGAACTCAATTTAAATGAATTCGAATCAATCCAATTTCAATCAAATCAATTCAGTTCGAATGAATTCACATCAAATGAACTCTATGCAATTCAAATCATTTAAATTCTGATGTGATATGATCTCATCTCTTCTGTTCTATTCTTTTCTATTCGATTCAGTTGGAATTAATGCGAATGAATTCAATTTGAAACAGTTCGAATCAATCAAATTTCAATCAATTTTATTCGATTCAGATCAATTCCATTTGAATGAATTCAATTGGAATTAATCCTAATCGAAACAGATCATGCCAATCCAAGTCAAATGAATTCATATCAAATCATTTCAATTCTGATTAATTCATTTTGATTCAATCTATTGCAAATGAATTCAATTTGAATGAATTCGAAACCAATCCAATTTCAATCAATTCCATTTCAATCAATTTAATTCAATTCAGATCAATTCAATTTGAATCAATTCAATTCAGTTGAGATCAATTCAATTTGAGTCAATGCATGTCAATTCAATTAGAATCAATTCAATTTAAATCAGGCCAATTCGATTTGATTGAATTCATATCAAATCAATTCAATTCAGATAAATTC